TGCTACTAATTTCATCTAAAGTAGGTAGCTGAAAATGACAACGGCGGACTGCTTTGTTCAAGTGATAAGGATCTAGACACAAACGAATTTTTTTATCTGGTTTTTCTACAATAATAATATTTGATACCCATTCTGTAGGTCCTTCCTCTTTTATTATTACATTTAATTTTTCCATATTTTCTAGTTCCTCTTTAAGTTTTGGTCTCAATTTAATTGGGACCTTTCTAGAAGCATTCACCACAGGCATAACGCTTTCATCTACATTTATTTTACATGTTGTTGGTAAACAGCCTAATCCGCTAAAAAGTGACTCTTCCGTTTTATAATTAATTACTTCATTTAAGCGCGCTAATAATTTTAATTTCTTACATGCTTCGAGCCCTAACAAATTGCTGCAAGTTATATTTAAACATATATTTTCTGTTTTACTTTTACACCTTTATAAGTCAAAGTTGGTTCAAAAAATCCTACCACAGGCAACTTTGACTTACTTATTTCTCTTAAAACTATTTTATTGCTTATCAAGATGTCTGTGTTAAAACCTGCACCTTTGAAAGCCTCTAGTGACATTACTGAAACATCACGTTTTGAACAATAATTTAAAAATGACGTTTGAACTTTCAACACGCACAGTCTCATACCATGACTCATTATCACCGTCTGCCGTACAAATAGATAAATTAAATAAAAATAACTCACGTTCATCCTCTCATCGTGGTTGACTTCACTAACAATTTTCGCTTTGCATTTATTATCACTTCCATGTCTGTGGCCGCACTTATCACACGCATAAGCACTTCTATCACCGTAATCCAATTTGTATGCTCGCTGCGGTCGTGGTTGATATCGCTGCGGCAGGCGGCGCGCGGTGTACCGACCGCGGCCTCGCGCTCCCGCTCCTAACTCATCCAGCGCCGGATCGGCGGACGTCGGCGCCGGCGCAGCCTGATCGGCGCGCCCGCACCTCTCCGCCTGCTTGCCTGCCCTCTCGATCGCACGACACCACGAAACGGCACTTTCCAAACTGAGAGTTTCTTTCGCCAGGAGTCTTTCACGTATCGTCGAGTCTTTAATTCCTCTTATAATTTGAGTGAGAATTAAGCTATCACGTAGATTTCCAAACTCGCACGACTTGCTTTTGATTTTTAACTCACTTAGAAATTTATCGAACATTTCTTTCGTGTTGATATGTTTCAAAAAATATGTGTCGTTCGTAGTTGACATTTCGAATTGGATCGCAACGTTCTTTAAATTTTGTCACTAACTTTTCGTAATCTACCTTCAAAATCTCACTCAAATCTAGTTCTTCAAAAATTTCACGTCCATATCTCCCAATAACATGAAGAAATAATGCACATTTCTCCTTAGCGGGAGCGGTGTCCTTTCCCAACGCACTAAGATAATAATCGAACGATGATTTCCATTCTCGCCAATTGAGCGCGATGTTGCCGTCCTCGCGCATGGCCGCCGGTTGTTGGATCGCTGAGCAAATAGACGCTGCCGCAGTACTTTTTGGTGTTTCTCCTTCGTTTCCCATTATTACTTATTACCAACTCTGTATTATATAACACTTAACGTGAAATGGCCGCACCTGACACCATGTAGTAATCCAAGGTGTAATAAATGAAACGCACTCGACGATGTGTGTGACAAGACTGGTTTTATTGCCATATACCAAATGCTATACTTATATATATAACTTACACCTACAACATCTCTCTCCTCAAAAACATTAAAAATAAACCTATTTATACATTTCCTACAAACAGTAAAGACTTACAATATATAACAGGAATAATGTATTTTCCTTTTGATATACAAACTAAATACCTTTTAATGTAAAACAATAATAATTTTTACAATAATAAGTTTTTTTTTTTTTTTTTTACTTTTATTTAAACTGGTTACAATACAAGATAAGTTTAAATATTTGAGTAAATGGGTATTAAGTAATTTTATTATACCTAAACCTATCTGGTTTTCGTTACGTACAACACGACCACTTCTAGTGATTATCGGTTCATTACACCAGCCGACGGTGCTGGTGATTGTTGTCCCCTTGACTGAGAAGGTAATAACACCACCTGTGAAGATGTGATCGGTGGCGGTGAGGTGTCCTGATCATTATCAAATATGAAGTCGTAGTCACAATTTTTGGTTTTTGTTGGCCTATTATTATGAGGTAATTTCATTATATGCGACCGATTCCTACGATAAGTTCCGCCGTTATCAATTTGCAGCCAGTACGACCGATCGTTTTTGGTCTTATCAACTATTTTTCCTTTGCGCCAAACATTGCCATCACGTACACGAATATCGTCACCTAGTTGTAATGGTTCTAAGGGCCTTGTACCGCGGTCATAATTACGCTTCATATTAATTATTCGCCGCAGCCGGTCGCGGTGCATCTCATGAGGAAGCACGGCTCGCGGAGCAAGCACCTGTTGTGACGCAGGAAGCCTCGTTTTGAGCGGTCTTCCCATTAACAGTTTGTGCTGGCGAAAATCGTTCGGCCGTAATTGGAGTATTACGAAAGTTAAGCAAACGCTAATTGCCATTCAGTCCCATCTTCACTAGCGTTAGTAAATAACTTTTTTAGAGTTTGCACATTACGTTCCGCAAGCCCATTTGAACGTGGATACATTGGAGAACTAGTAACATGTTCTATTTCCCACTGCTGTACAAAAGCTTTTAAACTCTGTGGAAGTGAAACTGAGTCGCATTGTCTGTTACTAATTTATATGGTATTCCTAACCTAGCAAATATACTTTTAAACTTTAATATTACTGTATTACTTTGCAAGTTTGGTAAACTTACTACTTCAACAAACTTTGAATAATAATCTACTATTAATAAGTAATGTTTCTTGTGGAATTCAAAAATGTCAGCCGCCAGTATTTCCCATGGCAGCTCGGGCACAGGGTGCGGTGCAAGCGGCTCGCGGCGCGCGGCGGTGCGGTGGCGCTGGCACGGTTCGCAGCGTGCCACAGCGTCTTCAATATCGGCCGACATACCTGGCCACCAAATAACATCTCGTGCGCGACGTTTGCTTTTTTCTATACCCAAATGCCCTTCGTGAATACGTATCAGCATTTCTTTACGCATTGACTTTGGTATCACTATTTTATTATTGCGAAATAATACTCCGTTTATTACATGTAAGTCATTCCGGAATGGCCAAAAAATCTTGCAATCAACATTAACATCTTTTTTATCTTTTGGCCACCCTTTCATGTAATAATTAATGATACAAGATAAGTCATTATCATTATTTGTTTCTAGTCTAATTTGCTGTAACTTTTCGTCCGAGGCTTCAACATTATTATAAATCGCATTAACATGAACAGTTACATCGTCGCACACCTCTGCATCTACGCCACGCTCTACTGCAGCTCGAGATAACGCGTCTGCAATAAACATTTTATTTCCCGGCTTATATGTTATATTTAGGCAATATACCTGTAACTTTAGAAGCATGCGTTGTAGTCGCGGAGGTGTTTCATTCAATGCCTTACGAAAAATAGCCTCAAGCGGTTTATGGTCACTTTCAACTGTTACTTCCTCATGTCCGTAAATAAATTGATGAAACCTTTGACAACCGAAAAGAATGGCAAGTAATTCTTTTTCTATTTGCGCCCATCTTGTTTCCGTATGCGTGAGCGTACGTGCCGCGTATGCAACGGGCTGTCCGCCCTGCAGCAGACACGCGCCTAACCCACGCGCGCTCGCATCTACTGTCAGAGTAACAGGCTCTTGCGGTGAATAAAACCGCAATACCGCTGCACTTGTTAATAACTTTTTTACATTTTAAAGGCTTTATCGTGCTCGTGATTCCAATCGAACTCCACACCAAATTTCAACAAACTCCTCAACGGTGCTGAAACTTCTGAATAATTAGGGATAAACCTAGACAAATAATTCGTGATTCTCAAAAATCTTTTCTAGTTCCTTTTTATCTGTTGGCTTTGGCATCTTAATAATCGCTTTGATTCGATTTTTATCTGGCCTCAAACCATTAGAATTAAAGATGTGACCTAGAAAACTAATTTCAGTCTGACCGAACATACATTTGTCTTTATTGAATTTAACCCCATTCAATTTTGCTCGGTCGAATACTTCTTTAAGCCTACTATCATGCTCCTCTTTAGATGTACCCCCCAGACCAAAATATCATCACAATATACCTCTACGCCCGGCATAGAAAAAAGTTTGTGCATCTCGTTATGAAAAATTTCCGGCCCACAGTTAATTCCAAATGGCATACGTAAAAAACGATATCTACCGAAACGGCGTGGCAAATGTACACAATTTGGAGCTAGCTTCGTCTAATCGTAACATCCAAAACCCTTTTTTAGCATCTAGTTTCGAAAAATATCGTGCCCCTGATAAGTTGCTACTAATTTCATCTAAAGTAGGTAGCTGAAAATGACAACGGCGGACTGCTTTGTTCAAGTGATAAGGATCTAGACACAAACGAATTTTTTTATCTGGTTTTTCTACAATAATAATATTTGATACCCATTCTGTAGGTCCTTCCTCTTTTATTATTACATTTAATTTTTCCATATTTTCTAGTTCCTCTTTAAGTTTTGGTCTCAATTTAATTGGGACCTTTCTAGAAGCATTCACCACAGGCATAACGCTTTCATCTACATTTATTTTACATGTTGTTGGTAAACAGCCTAATCCGCTAAAAAGTGACTCTTCCGTTTTATAATTAATTACTTCATTTAAGCGCGCTAATAATTTTAATTTCTTACATGCTTCGAGCCCTAACAAATTGCTGCAAGTTATATTTAAAACATATATTTTCTGTTTTACTTTTACACCTTTATAAGTCAAAGTTGGTTCAAAAAATCCTACCACAGGCAACTTTGACTTACTTATTTCTCTTAAAACTATTTTATTGCTTATCAAGATGTCTGTGTTAAAACCTGCACCTTTGAAAGCCTCTAGTGACATTACTGAAACATCACGTTTGAACAATAATTTAAAAATCACGTTTGAACTGTCAACACGCACAGTCTCATACCATGACTCATTATCACCGTCTACCGAGTCAATAGATAAATTATATAAAAGTAACTCACTTTCATCCTCTTCATCGTGGTTGACTTCACTAACAATTTTCGCTTTGCATTTATTATCACTTCCATGTCTGTGGCCGCACTTATCACACGCATAAGCACTTCTATCACCGTAATCCAATTTGTATGCTCGCTGCGGTCGTGGTTGATATCGCTGCGGCAGGCGGCGCGCGGTGTACCGACCGCGGCCTCGCGCTCCCGCTCCTAACTCATCCAGCGCCGGATCGGCGGACGTCGGCGCCGGCGCAGCCTGATCGGCGCGCCCGCACCTCTCCGCCTGCTTGCCTGCCCTCTCGATCGCACGACACCACGAAACGGCACTTTCCAAACTGAGAGTTTCTTTCGCCAGGAGTCTTTCACGTATCGTCGAGTCTTTAATTCCTCTTATAATTTGAGTGAGAATTAAGCTATCACGTAGATTTCCAAACTCGCACGACTTGCTTTTGATTTTTAACTCACTTAGAAATTTATCGAACATTTCTTCGTGTTGATATGTTTCAAAAAAATGTGTCGTTCGTAGTTGACATTTCGAATTGGATCGCAACGTTCTTTAAATTTTGTCACTAACTTTTCGTAATCTACCTTCAAAATCTCACTCAAATCTAGTTCTTCAAAAATTTCACGTCCATATCTCCCAATAACATGAAGAAATAATGCACATTTCTCCTTAGCGGGAGCGGTGTCCTTTCCCAACGCACTAAGATAATAATCGAACGATGATTTCCATTCTCGCCAATTGAGCGCGATGTTGCCGTCCTCGCGCATGGCCGCCGGTTGTTGGATCGCTGAGCAAATAGACGCCGCCGCAGTACTTTTTGGTGTTTCTCCTTCGTTTCCCATTATTACTTATTACCAACTCTGTATTATATAACACTTAACGTGAAATGGCCACACCTGACACCATGTAGTAATCCAAGGCGTAATAAATGAAACGCACTCGACGATGTGTGTGACAAGACTGGTTTTATTGCCATATACCAAATGCTATACTTATATATATAACTTACACCTACAACAGGAAGGTGCTTAAATTTCAATTTCTAATTTTGACCCAAATAAATAAACAAATAAATTTCGTACGGGTCGAGCTAAATAAAACCGTTTAAAAATGTTACATTATAAGTCTTTCCAGTAGGCATGACTCTTATGTTTTTCCATTTCTGACGCGATAAAGTATAACTATTTTGACTCTGTGTATTAAAATATTACTATCGCAGTCATCCTGTTTAAATACATTCCTTATACTTACCCATTCCTGGTTATTACAAAGTTCTTAAACCAGTGAGTTGTATTTGTATTTTGTATGGAAAAGGTTGGGTAGTAAGTCCCAACGACAACTTCTACAATAACTTCTAGAGTCAACGTTGCCAAGGTTGCTGTCCATTTTTATCCCAGAACGTTTTTATTATTATTAAAAATCATTTAAGTAGGCCAACTTCAAAAACCTTACACTTAAATATCTTTCAATCTAAAATTAATAATTTTTCTATATACTTATACATTTTTTTTAAAACATTGCCCTCACTTTAGGATAACATTATACTGTTTTGCAAGGACGTACACATAAATTTCCGTGGACAAATACCCAGATGCGAAACAACTATCTGTGGTTCACACAAATTCCCCACGACCCCCGACGCCGAAGCCAATACCTTGACGACTGCGCCACGGAGTCACCATACTTGCAGAACTAAATGTATTGAATATATTCAGAACTTGCCTTTACATGGTTTTTTTTTGTATTTACCTGCACAAAAAAAATAGTGCCTTTTTCTTTTAGGAAAGTCATTGAGGGTATCCTATTGGAATACAAACCTTGAATACATAACAAGACGACGCGACGCTTCTGTTGATAAGTTTTAAAATTACTAGCGCGTGTATATTACGTTGAGTATGTACCTTCTCCCTAGCTCGGCGTTTGATATACAAACTTTATGTAGGAGGGTCCTTAATCGAATGACTGATTAAACATGATAGCAACGATATACGCTATAATAATATTCAATCTCATTACACGGCGTGTATACGTAACATTATGTTACAATGTATGAAAGTAACGTTAGTTGTTTTTATGTATATTACACTAAAATCTTCTTAATTTCGTAACGTATAATGAGTTCTTTTATGTATTTTGCAACATTATGCAACGGCATTTATTTTTAAAGCCATCATACCGAATAAAAGAAAAGCTTTACTAAATTATTCAAGTCACGTTCAGTAGTACAGACATTCTCAACGCCATTTCTCAAGCGTAGACTTGCAATTCTACCTTTATATTTAAAAAAAAATGTATGTAGTGTTCTGATGATATTTATAAACACTTAAAACCACGATACTTTCTCGGGCTGAGTCGGCCCGTTTCTGTAGTTTATTAAGGATTGAAAACGTATCAATATCTGTATAAAGTTATTAAGAATTCCATGCATAATTTAATACATTTTTAGTCACTAGTTGTGCCTATGTGCCTATACATTGACCAATGAATACAATAAATAATCAAACGTAACATTATTTTCGTTAATGTAAATAACGTAAGTAACGTAGATTATTTTCGTAAATAAAGCCTACTGGTTTAAATATCTCATTTTAATTATCTAGTTATATGTGGTAAAAGTGAACAGGATAAGAATGCCAGTGCTTCAATAAGGAGCCCGATAAAGAATCAGAACACACGAGAGAGCAGTTGAGAAGAGGTAATGTCCTCCTAGCTCTCATACGGAACGGACTTCTCTCTAAGACGGAGGGCACAACTAGCACTACTACTAGCAACCTCGGTTGCAATTTGAATTCTTCTACTATTATTGTCGCGTAAATCGGTGGCCCATACTCGACAGCGACAGTCTGAACGACATTGCTGGTCCTGCGTAAAGAACAAAGATCTTCGACGAAAAGAGAAGTTTCAAGAAAGAAGATTAAAAACATTTTAGAAGACTTAAAAACGTAACGGAAGAAAGAAGAAAACTTTGCCCGATTTCTGAGAGATTTAGTGTTAGTGTAGTGTTGAACTCAAAGTCAGGTTCCTGTTCTGTAAGTGGAATCCTACACTCACTTCCCGCCTCAGAAGCGGCATTGTTTAATTTTTTTTTTTTTTTTTTTTTTTTAAAACATTGCCCTTACTTTAAGATATCTATAAGATTTATGGCTAGGGCTCCATTCACACGTACACTGCTCACTCTAAATGAGGTTGCCGACAGAATTGACCTGTTTTCATGCCACAGAAATGATTTTATAATAGTATCCCATTACGTGATATGTTACTCATAAAACTACAAGTATGATTTTTTTTTGTGTATTACAGTCTTACTGTTTATAATTGGTTTTATGGAATTGTTAGTTATTATTTTTTATATTTTTTTTTCGACTATTTTATATTTTTTGGCAACACTATCGAATTGGGTCAGCATGTAATGATAGTTGTGTGCGTCAATGTAATAATTAAATAAATAAATAAATAAAATCATTATCCTGCATTGTAAGGACGTTTTACTAACATAAATTTCACGCGGACAAACACCCAGATGCGAAACAACTATTTTTGGGTCACACAAATAGTCCCGTGTGGAAATCGAACCCACGACCCCCGACGCCAATACCTTGACAACTGCGCTACGGAGTCATCAAATTTGATGATAGCTATAGACCCTAGCTCACCTAAAGCGCAGGTATTAGGTGTTATTTTTATGCACATCCTTCCATTTTTTAGAGTTTCGTACCTCAAAAGGTAAACAAACGGAACCCTTATAAGATCACTCTCTTGTCCGTCTGCCTGTTCTTGTGTCACCACCGATTTTCTCGGGAACGGGTGAACATAGCATGTTTTATACCAGATATTGAGATCTATTAGGTGTATAAAAGTCTAGGTGCTGAGTCAACACAATAAAAAAATATATGTATTTTCCCTATACTTGTGCTGTAAGAACTTGCTTTTAACCAAAATTGACTGGAACATGAAATGGAAGTACCCTATGGATTAATAATTTTGGTACTACTTTTCGCGAATATTTAAATTTGCCCATATCTTTCTACAGTGTATTTGATATTTATACACCTAACAGACCTGAGTATATGGTTTAAAATTCAACCTGCTAGGTCCATCCTAATAAAATTGGTGGTGATTATGAACAATTTTATTATGGCGGTATAACGGGTTCTTACCGAACCCTCGGCGTACGAGTTCGACTCGCACTTGACCAATTTGTTTGCTAGTGTTAAATGGTAAATTTTTGAGATATTTTTTTTTTCACTGCCCGGACTCGAAGCAACGCCATCCGGGTAACGTGCCCAGACGCTCTAACCACTAAGTTAAGTGATTCTCACCACACACACACAAATACACCCACGCCAAATAATGATTTTTACAGTTAAACTTTTTATTCCAAATCCTGGGATATTTCAGTTTTTAAAGATATTTCTAAATTTTTTTGAAAATAACATACAGTCCATGTTACTCGCTAATAATGGAGCGTTCTAAAGGTGAAGTAATTTGTAATTTGATAGAGTATTTTTTCAAACTATCCATTCCAAAGAATTAAAAAAGTCAAACCTTTACTCTTTATAATGCTTGTTTAGTAAAAGAAAGACAAAATAAAATTATTAAAACTTTCGTGACACATTATTAACGTAATAATAAGACGGTTGAACTTACGTGAAACCGGTGTATGTATCGACTAGTTTCGGTATTATTACGAAACACAAAATGTTTAAAGCATACTCTCATAGAAACTTTTGTTTAGTAGTTGGCTTTACCAGCTTTGAAATAAAATAAGACCTGTGTTCAATAAGTAACTCTAATATTTTAACCGAATACGGTCTTCCATTAACTTAATGGAAGTGGAAATGGGTAGTATTTTCTTGCTTTGACAATGAATCTTTTAATTTATGCTTATATTAGAAATCCAACAAATAAAGAGTTATATCTCATTTTCACAAATATTTTCCTAAAATATCTTTCTTGATAAAAGTATATAAATAGCATAATATATAAATATTTACATGTTTTTCAATACCTCAATAATTGCTAATGAGCCCTTGCGAAACAAACGGAATGCGGTAATAGACCCAATGACCTTTGCTGTTTTGCGTATAGTATTTTTCTATAAAAAGTTCGAACCGAGTGAATTAATTTAATCAGCGAAAAATTTTCATTAATCGCGCTATACGAACATTGGCTGTCTCTAAGGAACGCAAAGCCTGGCTGAACTGCATTTTTTAAGTCGAATATATATTTTTCTTTTGATTTTAGGGATCGATATTAAACCGATAGCAGCTTTGCTTGGTATAACCAAGATGGAATCCATTCAAAACTCAAATATCTTTATTCAATATAGAAGCATTACACTTACTTCTTGATTGTCAAAAAGCTCTACTACAGGCTCGAAAAATAGCGACTGACCTGAGAGGAACCGGCGAAAGAAACTCAGCGGGACAATTTTTTTCAAACATAATTTGCCAAATGGAATAAAAGTCTGTACAAGATATTAAATTCCACTTGAAAGAGCCTGGAATGATCAAATAATCACTAATACTATCATAGCCTTCAACACACAAACGTCCCTACACGTTTATTGAATTTAGCAACTGATTAATTTTGAACGTTTCCATAAAAGATAAACTTATTGTACGCAATCTAGATGGTAGAATAATTTATGTTTGTTCTTATATCTTGAAAATTCATTCTTATTTTTACGAACATATAAAACATTTGCAAGGTATGAGCAGCATCAGTCAATAATTTATTTCTTTAAACAAATTTCTTAGCGATTCTTTGGGGCCTAGGTTATAAACTGCTTGAATAGTTTTCTATTGCAAGATGAATATAGTGTTTATGTCAGCCGCGTTTC